GAGAATCTTGCCTTTCACTCTGGGCTATTGGTTCACTTAATCCGTCGATTTGTTTGGTGTTTGTGGTTTTCTTTCTCTCCTCACCTTCCTTTCCCCTGTTTTGTTTTGTTGTGCTTGCTTTTGGGGGGATGTTTCTTCCCTCTCGCAGAAGAGCTGGAATTGCTTGAGAGGCGTTTAAGGAATTATAGAAGTGGCCAGCAAACAGGAGCTCAGTAATTGCAAAGCTGCTCTTGCTTCAGAGAGGCAGAGAGATCAACAGAGGGCTCGGGGGTAGACGGGAACAGGGAGGTCCTCATTTTTCCTGTGCATTACTCCTCTCCCAGTTTGGATGATGTTGCTGAGCTCGGACCTTTTGTTGATTCCCACTCTGTGATTTTTGCAGAGCACTGTGACTATTACTACCGTCTCTTTTTGTCTGTGTCTCACAGTAATGGACTGTGATAGAGTTAAGGCCTTTTGGAGGTGAGCTGTTTGAGAGCTGATGCTTAAACATGTCTGAAGTAGCTGCCGACACTTTTCCCAGCCCCTCAGCTCAGCTGAGCCCTGGCACATCCCTTGACGGGCTCCCGGCTGAGGAGAACATGCCAGGGACCCAAAGAGAGGACAGGAGGGGCGCAGGCCTTGCCATGACCTGCTGTGTGTGCCTGGAGGCAGAGCGACTGAAGGGCTGCCTCAACTCTGAAAAGATCTGCATCGCCCCTATCCTGGCTTGTCTGCTCAGCCTTTGCCTCTGCATTGCTGGCCTCAAGTGGGTCTTTGTGGACAAGATTTTTGAGTATGACTCTCCTACCCACCTTGACCCTGGAAGGATAGGACAAGACCCAAAGAGCGCTGTGGATCCTACAGCTCTGTCTGCCTGGGTGCCTTCGGAGGTATATGCCTCACCCTTCCCTGTACCTAGCCCCAAGAGCAAGGCTGAAGTGACAGTGCAAACTGACAGCTCGCTCGTGCCCTCCAAACCGTTCCTCCAGCCTTCTCTGTATAACCGCATCCTAGATGTTGGGTTGTTGTCCTCTGCTGCACCTTCACTGTCACCAACTGCCCTGGAGCCTACCACAGCGTCTCAGGCACAAGCTACAGAAACCAATCTCCAAGCTGCTCCAAAACTTTGTAAGTAGAAGCTATGTGTTTCTTTGTTTTCCCTTCTACAAAAAAAAAAGGTACTTAACTGTTCTGCAGCTGTCCCGGAGGAGGACATGTGATTGGCATGCAAAGCTTAAGTGCGCTAAGACATATATAGCATGGGTTACCTTCTGAGAGCACCTAGGAGCTTCTGAACTTAGCTCTGAGGTATGCATGGCAATAAAGAGGGCTTGATTTGGGACTTTGTAAAGCACTAGTACCACCCTTTTCTCTGCATCCATTTTTAGGGAATTATGTGATTCACTTAAAGGGTTTATCTGATAGCTATTCCACATGGTCTATCAACGTATTTTTCTTATAAATTTGATTTGTGTCCTGTGCTGGATCTTCCATGTGTGCTCATTTTCTTTGCCTTGCCTGCAGAGCACTTCTGCTACCTTCTTCCTGAAGTCTGTTTCTGGCAAACATCCCTGTCATCCTCCTGAAACAGTCAGGGAGAACAGTGGGAAAGAGCGACAGTGTATATGAAACAGTGATAGACTGGGAATTATTAATTTAGTAGTTAGCTTGTGATCTTTCTCTTAAGAGCATAGCACACATTTCTCTGCATCTTTGCCTTCTTCCGGGGCTGATTCTTTTTGAACATTTCTCATACATTGTCTCATTGACTTTGTGGGGCATTTCAGGAAAGCATTCTTGCCAACGCAGGAGGGCTCAGTTTCCAAATTAGTCTTTGCTCATCCTTAAAGCAAAAAATGTCCAGGATACCTGGATTATTTTCTCAGTAGGGATCATAAAGCACCAAAATGCCGCATTGCTGAAGTGTGATTTCTTTGACATTCATCATTTTAACCCATCAAATCCAGAGCAGATCAAGCCCACAGTTCCCAAGCTGTGTAAAACTGTGCCACTCTAGTAGGTGAGAAACCAGCATGCAGTTGTGCCAGGAGCACAGAACACAGAGGTTCCTTTGGTAAGCTGCAGTGGTCAGAATGAGCAATTTTGTTCCTTGCAAATTGCCTTGCAAGACCCCATCTCATTTATTCTCCCTTGTGCCTTCCCTGTAATGCTGCAGGATGGCCACCTTGGTGGTAGTACGTACTGGACCTCATTCTGGCGCCCTGAAGTCGCAAGTAATTCACTACTGAGTTTAGCCCCACCCAGACTGGGCTCAGGATAGATATGCAGTAGTTGAACTACATAAACAGTTTGGGTGAACCACCTTGCCAGTGAAAATGATTGCAACTACAGTGATTCCAGTGGAGGTCCTTCCAGCTGAGAGTCAGTCCTCAACAGCAATTCCAAAATCACTGAAAAAAAAAATTTAAGTATTCCTGTTGAAGCCCTGCTACCTTTTGTGTAGTTAATGGGTAATAACCAGCTTTTGGATTAAAAGTAATTTGTCTGCTGGAAGCAGTCTGAAAGGGAAATACTGCTGTGCAGTTAAATGACAGAGGGCTTTATCTGTGGGAGGTAAGACATTACTTGAATTATTGGGACACATAACCACCTTAACAGTTACATGGAACTATACTAAGTGATTTTTTTTTAGTTGCTGATGCAGAAATATTTTTTTTGTAGTGGAAATACTGTGAGTGACATTAAAGATATGACAGCACTGTTTACTTCATAAAGTGACCAAGGACCACCATCTAGTCAAAATGGCCTCTTCCGTGCAAGAGGGGGAAGCAACCCAAAGCTAGTTATGTCAGGACAACCCTCACCCTCTTGAATTTCCACATGTGAGGCAAGCTTTTATCAATAACCTGTCAACTTCATCTCTGAAGCAAATGAACAGGGAGGGAGGGAAAGGGGAAAAGAGATTCTTTGGAGCAGTCACTGACAGAAAGCATTCAGATCTGCTCACATCTGAGAAATAAATGGTTGTCCAGAAATTAGGTGATTGGGTTGAGTTGTTTTTTTTACTGTTCTACTGTTGCCCTAATTTTCTTAAGATAAATGTGTTGTAAGGTATCACAGACTTCCAGATATATACAGACTGAAAGGAGGGGGAGAACTAGCAGCAGGTCAAGTTTGGGTTGCTCTGAGGGAGAAGGTTGTATAGGCAGTATTTATTCTAACTGTGGCACATAATTTTGACTATGGTAAGGGGCTGCAATTCCCTGCAAAGAAAAATAATGTAGCTGGAAAAATTCACTGCAGAAGATCTGCCTAAGAATTCAAAGAGTCATGAAAAGAACTTTTTGGACAGCTCTAAAAGCACTGTATTGGGGTTTTTGAAATAGCTGCATTTCAAACACGTCATTGTGTTTTATGAAGAGCAAGATTTGTTGGAGAGGTTGACATTGCATTAGTGATAACTTTTTTTTTATGAATGCCTTTGACAGCTATAAATTCTCAGAGAGATGTCTTGGAAAGTAGCATCTGCAAATTGGATTGTCCCTTCTTTAGCCTCTCAGTGTCCTTTTTTCCATTTCAGGCAGAGTGAGGTAACTTACTCCCAGACAGCCCCTTTTGTGCTGATAATTTTTTTTTCCAGTGCAGAAATAAAAAAGAACTGCCACATCTCATATTCTGTGGCTGATGCATTGTTTCTGAACTGGGCCCTTCCATGAGTTTCCAAATCCTTTTCTCTTCTTCTCTTTTCTGTCTTACTCAGCATATTCCCCTTAAAGCTATATCCTTCAAGGTCATAGTCTGCTGAGAGCTAATTGATTCTTCTTTCTCCTGGAGCCTGGGAGAGAAAGCAGAAGAGAGACAATCCTAGTAATTGTGTCTGGTGCATTAGATTCAAGACTGGTCTCACTCCTATTATTATACTTTGCCCTTTATCAATACAGAAATAATCTCTTTCTTTCTATTTGGTTTCCATTTTATATTGCAATGTCATTTATCCCTTGCTGAAACAGAAAGGAAAGGTGAATATTTTAAATGCTCCCATATTTAAGGAGCGTGTCAATCTTAGCATAATTACACCAGAGAAGACTTCGTTACAAGCAGCATGTAATATTACACACTAACCTACAATCTCTCTCCCTCTGAGAAGACATGCAGATTGTAAAAGCACTAACACAGTTCAGGAGCTAAATTTTACTTCTTTCTACACCACCACGTTTAAATACAATTCCACCCTTCACCCAGGCTTGTAATAGATGCAGCTCTTTATTACTGTCAAAACTGTGCTTCTGTAATAACTACATCTATATAACTGCATCTATATATCTGCAAACCAACCACTCCCCTTTTTACAGGTCTTCCCACTGCCTTCTCATTACAGGTAAGCAGATTTTCCCCAAAATCATCCACCAAGGTCTGTATGGGGTTGCCTTTCTGGGGTGACAGCTTTGCCAAAGGGGTGCAGCACTGCTGTGTTTCAGCTCTGCCCTGAAGAGGTGGTGCCCAAGCCTTTGGCTTTGGGATCACATCTCTCCTGACTTGGTGAGGTGCCACAAGAGACAGAGCAGGAAACAGACCACAGCACAGGGACTTTGCTGGAGTTGATTTCCCTGTGAGCAGAGCTAAAGGCCCAGCAAAGAGCAGGGTCCAGAGAATATTCCTCCCTGGTGGCACATTCGTGCTGCCCCTGCATACTTTCTGCTTTTGGCATCCTTGGCCACCTTGGGTGCTGTGCACTGACGACCAAGCTGCACACTCTGTGCCACGCTGGTGGTCAGCAGGTGACCAGCACGCACATCTGCATCTCCCTACCTCTGTGCCCACCAAGTTGTGCCAGCCATAACAAGCAGAGGAGGGTGGATAAGTGCAGCACCAGACCTATCCATGCCCCTCGGGGGCAGGCAGGGCTCCTTCCTACCTCACCAGTGCTGGCCCTCGCCTGGAAAACACGTCAAAGTGGAGAAAGGACTGTGCACTGTCAGCCACTCCTACCTGGCACTGCTCCCTTCTCATGTTTCTGTTTTCTGCTGCCACTTCAGGTGTGCTGGGCCAGCATCAGCAAAGGCTGCTGCTTTCTCATCCTCAGTGGAAACAAATGTCAAAGAGTGTCTCTGAGAAGTGGTGGTGGGTGTTTACCTAGGAAATGGTCTCAGCTCCCCTCCAAAGTTATTCTGGCACAATGGTGAATTTCTTTTGTCTTTTTAGAGCTAGGGATGGGAAAAATTGAAAGATAACTAGCCTGTCTTCTGTTTTGGTGTCACACTGTATATATTCCTTGCAGTTTCTCTCTGCCTCTTTCACCTCTGTTCTTTCTCAGCTCTGCATTTGATGTCCTTTCTCCTATACACAATGATTTGTGAAGGTCTACATTTTACCTCCATGGCAGGCTGGAGGGAGCCTTGCCCTACAGTTATGGGTGCAGCAGCCCAGCTGAAGGCTTTGATTTATGGACAGGAAGGGTTTCTTCATACCAGCTTCACACAGTGTTTGTTCTTTTTCTTGAAACAAAGTCTGACCCGTGCTCTGCAGTTCAGATCCCCATCACAACACCATAGGGTTGAGTCCATGCCTGGCAGCCTCTGAAAGTGTCAAGGTCAGGGATGTCTCAGAGAGCCACAGACTGTACTCACAGGAGGGGAGAGCAGATGATACAGCACAGGCTATATACCAGCCTTTTCTACGCTCTCTGTTATGCAGGGCAGCGCCGCAAGGGAGATTGCTTTTTCCCCAAAGCTTGAAGATGCATGAGGAGAGCACCTTAAAGCAGATGTTACTCCATTTCTGATACAGTATTGATGTTGATTAGCTTCAGACACCTAACTTAAGTGCCTACATTAGGAAGTTAGGCAGCCTTCAGCTTTCTATTCAGCATAAAGGTCATTCCTGACATGAGTTTAGCAGGAGTAACTCTCCTCCAATAAGTATATAGGGAGACTAACCTTGCAATTCGGTTTCTAAGTTAAATGTCTGCTACACAGTATGAAGGCTCATTTTGAAAGCCATGACTTTTCTTTGACGTGTCCTGTGAATTAACAATGCCTTGTCACCAGGAAGTTGTAATTAATCACAGTTAAGATACTAGACAAGTTCGGAGCCTAACTCAAGGGCATAATAAAGATATGCTGATCTCAGTAAGCTCTGGAGACACAACTGGGCCTCCATTAACAAGAAGCAATAA